CCCCGGCCCTCACACGGTGCCCCGACAGAGCCGCCCGCCCTGCAGGGTCACCCGTCCCTCCCGCAGGTAAGGTTGGCTGCCCCCCTCCCCGGGCATCGCCCCGGCTGGGCATCGCCGTGGGGCAACCCATGGATGTGCCCCCAGCTCAGGCACCTCACTGACCCCTTCGCTCCCATTTTTTGCTGCAGAGCCCCGAAAAGGAGCCCACGACAGTTTATGCCAGCGTGATGATGCCCATGGCCTGAGTATCTCCCGGCAGCAGCTCAGCCCGGTCTCCGCCTCTGCTCGCCGGGCACCGACATCCACTTTCCCGGTTGGAAGAGACTCCGCTAATCCCTGAGGAATTGGGGTAAAACCCTCCGGCATGCACTGATCCCTGCCTCAGCTGAGCTGGGGCTGCAACGACGGCTGCGGCGGTGGGGGAGCAAAGAGCAGGGCTGAAGCAAGGCAAGAAATCTCCCCGGACTGTGGCTAAGGGTGGCCGGGAAGATGCTGAAGCAATGGGAAAGGATGGAGGGGGATCTGGGGACGGCCCAAAAAAAAGCAAAGAGCTCAGCCCGTTAGCACCGTGGTGCAGCACCAGGAAGAGTGGCCAGAGTAAATTTGCACCCCAACGTCGTCCCTGCGCCGTGGGTTTTCACCCCACAGCCTCATCTGGCAGCCCCGCATTCACTAGAGGGAGCCCCTGGCTTGTGGCAGCCAGTGACACCAGGGACAGAAAAATCAGAAGCGAGGGCTTTTTTTTCTTTTCCGACCTCTGCCCCCGCGACTGGTTATGAAACACACGCTGAGTTTGGCCGAAGCGATGAAGAAGTTTTTGCAAAACCCATCAGGGCTGAGCCCTGCCCAGCCCCCACCCAGCCCCGGCCGCACATGCCCATGTTTTGGGAAGCAGCCGTGTCCCACCGCACTTTTCCATCCCCATCCTTTTCCACCAATGACTACGGGAACAGGCGAGGATCTCCCAGGTGGACTATTTAAAGCTGAATTTCTGGCTGAGAGGGGGAGGCAGCCCCTGCCCGTGGTCCGGCCACCCTCTGCCCACAGCAGCTCTCGACTTCCTTGCAGGAATACGTGGTGCGGGGATGCTGGAGGTGGCCTGGAGGAGTGACCAGGGCTGTAAAAATCTTTCCAACCTGCCTCCTCTGCCTCCCCACTTAATCCAAACTATTTTATAATCCCAACATAACTCAGCCCGTACAGCAGATCTGATCTCGTGCGCTGCTGCTAAGGGAAAGGAAAATAAATTTCTAGTGAGGCCTTTTGGGAAGGTTTGCTGGGGAAGCATGTCAGAGGCTGGATCAGACTTTGGTGGGGGGGACACATGGGGGACAGGCAGAGAGAAATCACTGTTTTTTCACTTCCGTAGCTTCCTTCTTTCATTACTACAGAAAATCAGCTGAGCTGCTTCCTTGGAAAAGTCTGCCCGCAAAGCAACCACTTCCCCCAGAAGCACAGGCAGGTCAGGGGAAGGGCAAGGTCGTGCTTGCCCTCGTGCCTCTAAAATGGTGTAAAATGCCCAAATTCTGTGCCCGGTGCTTGGTGCAGGATGGAGCCCGGCGCTACCTGTGCTGGTCCTTGCTGAACGATGGGGCACGCTGTGATGTGCAGCCCTGACGTGCACCCAACCATCGCGGCCCACCTCGCGGCTGTGAGGGGACATCAGATGCTCAATATGGTGCTCAAGTAAAAATGCTGATATTGGCACTGCAGAGGAGCATTGAGCTGCGATGCCACAGCCACCGTCTGCTCCCAGGGGATGGTCAGAGGAGGCAAAGGGGATTCTGGGCTGACTCGTCCCGCGGGGTGTCTCCTGTGCCTCTCATCCTACCCGTCATACAACGGTTTTGCGGAAGAGATAGGCTGTTTTTACCGGTTGAGTGATGATATTGCTTTGGTATTGAGCAACAATGCCAGTCATACAAGCATAGAATCACAGGATGATTTGGGTTGGAAGGGACCTTGAAGCCCATGTCGTTCCCCCCCCTGCCCTGGGCAGGGCCACCTCCCCCCAGCCCAGGTTGCTCCAAGCCCTGTCCAACCTGGCCTTGAACACCTCCAGGGATGGGGCAGCCACAGCTTCTCGGGGCAACCTGCCCCAGGGGATCACCACCCGCACAGCCAACAATTTCTTCCCCATCTCTCACCTCAATCTCCCCTCTGTCAGTGTCAAACCGCTCCCCCTCGTCCCATCACTCCCCTCGCTGATCCAGAGTCCCTCCCCAGCTCTCCTGGAGCCCCTTTAGGCACTGGAAGGCTGCTGTCCCAGTCCTAACATGTCCCATCGAGGGCAGCGCTGGAAGGCAACTGCAGCCCCTGCTCCCTTGGTGGGGCAGAGGAACCAGGACTATTTTAAAGGTTAACACGCTCAGCTGGTCCAGAGCGCTTCCTCCACCTGAATTTCATTATGACGCTGGTGTCATGCTACTTCCCAGAATAACTTGAATTAGGGAAGCGGCTGCTTTCCCTGTAGTTCTTGTTCAACTGTCCTGTCTGGGGGGAATGGAGGGTTTGGAGCTCAGCATCTTTTGCAAAGGATGCCCCGGTGACATTGGTTTGTGGGCATCAGTGTGCTCCTGGGCACCAACCCATGATGGTCTTCATGATACCCCTCTCTAAGGGCTGGTTCCCATAGAGGAGCTGGGACAAGTGTTACACACAGCCACGATGATGCTTTTTGTCCCAGCTGCTGCGCTCATCTCTGCTTGAAAATGGGGTTTTTCAGCACACATTTTTGTTACTCACGTGGGACTTTTTCCTCCTTGTCACACCCCTTCTGGAACCAACTCCAGTGTCATCGCTTGATGTCACTGTGGTGGTACCAGCCATTGGATGAAGCAGTTATCTCCACCCATCCGACTGTGGGAGGAAAATATATGTGTCTGAAGGCACTTGTCCCTTGCTTTCGTCACCATGACCTGCAGTGACAAGATGCTCCTCAATGTGCGCCGTGGGTTGATGGATGTGTTTCAGTACCTGCCGCTCACCCTCCTCCTCCTCCACCAAGCAAGTAAGTGCAAGGTGCTCATTTTCCCTTGGTGGTGGAAGGGAAGGAGCTCTCAGTGGGGTTGGGGTGGTTTTGGGGACTCCCAGGAGAGCGGGGACAGGGCTGGCATGTGCAGGACCAGCGGTGCAGGTGCAGCCCTGTGCGGATGGACTTTGTCCCAGGGATGTTGGGCAATAAAGGGTGAAAGGTGCCCGGCATGACTCAGGGCTGCTCTCTCGCTTGATCCCCCTCTGCTAACAAGTGAATGCATCAGGTCTCAGCCCCAGCCGGGTCTCTGTCCAGCTGCTGCCAGATGTGCGCCGGCCGAGGAGTTTGCTGCACCGTGCCAGGTTCAGGGTCTGCTCCCCCATGTGTTTTCTCTGAGTTTTCCATACTCTGGCCGCTTCATCGCAGGGTATTTAGGGCCGTTTGGAACCGGAGATGTTTTCTGCCTCTTTTCAGGCAAGAGGAAATGAGCAGAGATGCTGCCTCTGCCCCAGCCGCCTTCCCCGCAGCCTCCAGGAGGGTTTCACTGCCGGATGAGCCCTCCAGCGTCCTTATCTGCTGTTTTAGCAGAACTGCCTTCTTTGAGTTTATCTCCGCAACCAGTTCTTCCTTCCATTCGGTTGGAGATGCCCCGGAGGCATCTCAGGCAGTGGGGACCAGAAACGCTGAGCTCCGGGGTGAGGTGGCAATCTCCGTGTCTAGTTGCCCGGCTGAGCCGGGGTCAATTCCCTTTCCAGAAACTGGGGAGAAAACCTCTGTCCCCAGCCCAGACTGAGCAGCGGTGATTTTTAAAAAGGGAGTAGACGAAATAAGAGGGGAACTGCCTTCCTCATTCTCAGAAGAGGGGAGAAGCAGCTGCACATTTGGGGAAGAAGCCACCCAGTTTCTCGCCTGCTGGTCTGGTGATGGAAGGAAAGCTGCCGGACCTTTCTGAGTCATTGCAAACTCCTCCTTGCATTTTCATTTTGCGCCTCGAGGCTCTGTCCCTTTTGCACATTTTTTCCCCTTTTCCGTTCCCCTTTGAAGGTGGGAAGCAGTGTGGATGTCCTGTAGCTGCAGGGGAACCTGGTGCCCTCCTGCTTCACGAGCCCTTGGGGGATGTGAAAGCACATGTCCTCCTGAGGGACCTCAGCCCAGCACCTCAGAGACAATTTGTTTATTTAAAATAAAAAAGGAACCTCTAATTCCTGCAACCACCCTGCGATGGAGTGGTTCCTCAGTGCTTTCCACATCCAGCATCAGTGAGCCGGTGTGCATCCTTGTCCCCAGGGATACCCCAGTGGGTTTGGGTGAGCCGGCATCGTGTGCCGGCAGCCCAGTGAGCCCCCGGCATCCCGGGCTGCATCCCCAGCAGCATGGCCAGCAGGGCGAGGGGGGATTGTGCCCCTCTGCTGCGCTCTGCTCTGCTCTGGGGAGACCCCCCTGCAGTGCTGCCTCCAGCTCGGGGGCCTCAGCACAGGAGAGACATGGACCTGGTGGAGCGGGGCCAGAGGAGGTCCCGGAGATGCTGGGAGGGCTGGAGCCCCTCTGCTGGGAGGACAGGCTGGGAGAGTTGGGGGGGTTCAGCCTGGAGAAGAGAAGGCCAAAAAGGGGAGAGCTCAGAGCCCCTTCCAGTGCCTAAAGGGGCTTATAAGAAAGATGGGGACAAACTTTTTAGCAGGGCCTGTTGCTGATGGGACAAGGAGGAATGATTTTAAACTAAAAGAAGGAAGATTTAGACTAAATATAAAGAAGAAATTTGTTGTGTTGAGGGTGGTGAGACTCTGGTCCACATTGCCCAGAGAGGTGGGAGATGCCCCATCCATGGAGACATTCCAGGTTGGGCAGGATGGGGCTCTGAGCAATCTGATCTAGTTGAAGATGTCCCTGTCCATGGCACGAGGTTGGACTAGATGGTCCTTAAAGGTCCCTTCCAACCCAAACCTGTGAATGATTCTGTGACTTTACCTGTGCATGATCAGTTGGGGGGCTCTGGCCCCTATAGATCAGCGTCTCCGTGGCATCACACAGTGTGATCATGGTGGGGCAAGGCTCTTCTTTTCATCTGGGGCTCTTCTTTTGGCCAAGAATCCTTCCCTGAGCCCTCCTGCCTTCTGCCAAGCTCCCTGTGCATCTTCTACCCGGGGCATTGCCTTCAGCCCAGCTTCTCTCCCCAGTGTGTACCTGCGACAGGGCAGAGGTGACCGGGGCTGTGGGCAGGTCTGTCACCTTCTGCCTCCAGAGCCCGAATGCCGTCACTGCCTGGAGCTTTCACAATGAACTCATCGTGACCGTGAGATTTGGCAATCCTCCTGAAGTCACGTTTTTTGACGACAACTACAAGTCGCGCTTGGCCTTCCCCAAGAATGGCAGTGCGCTCAGCATCTCCCAGCTGAAGATGGACGACGCTGGTACCTACACCGCAAAGACCGCTGGGGCAAAAACCACCTTAACCACCTTCACCCTACATGTATACAGTGAGTGCCTTTTAGTATTGGCATTTTTTTGTTTGTTTGTTTGTTTCCTATGCTTTGTGATAGATGGGGGGTTGGGAATTTCCTGACAGCCCCTCACTTCCCACCACAGGGGAGCTGGTGGTGCCGACGGTGACCTGCGCGGCACAGAACTGCTCGGCTGACGGCTGCCGCTACACCCTGCACTGCACCACATCAGGCCCCGGCTCCGGCAACGTCTCCTACGTCTGGAGCACGGGGAACCGGCTGCTGGGCGAGGGGCCCATGGTGCTGGTGGAGGAGCCACCCCCGGATGAGCCACCGCTGATGTGCATGGTGCAAAACCCTGTCAGCAGACGCAACGCCACTGTCATCTCACCCGCTGCCCTCTGTACAGGTAACCGCCATGGAAAGTCATAGAATCACAGGATGGTTTGGGTTGGATGAAACCTTAAACCCCATCCAGTTCCACCCCCCTGCCCTGGGCAGGGCCGCCTCCCCCCAGCCCAGGTTGCTCCAAGCCCCGTCCAACCTGGCCTTGAACACCTCCAGGGATGGGGCAGCCACAGCTTCTCGGGGCAACCTGCCCCAGGGGATCACCACCCGCACAGCCAACAATTTCTTCCCCAGATCTCACCTCAATCTCCCCTCTGTCAGTGTCAAAGCGTTCCCCCTCATCCCACGGCTCCCCTCCCTGATCCAGAGTCCCTCTCCAGCTCTCCTGGAGCCCCTTTAGGCACTGGAAGGGGCTCTGTGGTCTCCCCTTCTTCGCATTCTCTTCTCCAGGCTGAACCCCCCAACTCTCCCAGCCTGTCCTCCCAGCAGAGGGGCTCCAGCCCTCCCAGCATCTTCGTTTTGCGGTTTAACCCCAGTCAACAACTAGGACCACTCACCACCCCACGTCCTCCTCCAGAGGGGTAGGGAGAAGAGAGAGAAAAGGAGGGGAAAGGGAAAAAAACCTCATGGGTTGAGTTAAAGACAGTTAATTATAACAATAATGGAAAAGGAAAATAACAATAGTAACAATAATAATGGTAAAAATATATACAAGGCACAAGTCAGTCTCATCGCCCAGTGAATTGGTTGTCCAGCCTGACCCAAGCAGTGAGTGGGGGTTCCTCCCCCCCCGGCCAACTCCCATTTATATACCGAGCATGACATCTATGGTATGGAATATTCCACTGGCCCTCCCATTGTTCTGTCTATGCTCCTTCCCGGCTTCTACTGGAAGCTGGGAAAATGTCTTGACTAGTATAAACATTGCTTAGCAACAACTAAAACAATATGCATTATCGACATTCCTTTGGTACCAATTCTGAAAACACAGCAACCACTAGAAAGCAAATTAACTCTGTCTCAGCCGAAACCAGGACAGAAAGATATGCGGGAGGGTGGTGGGGATGGGCCATATCCTGCTCCCAGCGGCTCCAGCTTTCCTCTGGGCTGTGTCTCGGCATGCAAAAAAGAACCGCGGACCCCCAGCAGAGGCACTTACCTCTCTCCCTGTTCTCTCCCCTGCGCTGCGCCGCCCGTGCCACCAGAAAACACAACCCACTCTCCCACCACTGGTGAGCTGCCGAACCGCCTGTCTGTGTCCGGCGTCTGTCTGAGTATGCCCAAGCTAGCTAACAGCGTCCAGCCGCCCCGGACCCCCGCTGGGGAGGGGGGAGATGGGGAAACTGAGGCCAGCGCAGTCTGTCTCCTCCCAAAACACCTCGTGGGGGATATCCAGGCTTTCTGGGCAGTGCTCATAGCATCCGTGTGCTGTCTTTGTCACCTGGGGAATTTGGGGAGGTGGGGGGGGGGTTTCTACCTTGCCTCCCCAAAAAGCCCCAGCTTGGGATGGGAGCATCGAATCAACGAGTGCAATGGAGAGGCAGAGCCAAGGAGGGGCTGGAGGTGGGAGTGTGGGTCTGTGTCCATCTGCTGTCCCCAGCCCACAGGGGCGGTTTCCTCCCCCAAAAAGCCACCTGTGAGGTCCCCGGAGTGCAAAGGGGACACCAGCTGGGGGTGGTCGCAGCCATGGAGGGAGTTGGGCGGCAGTCTCCCAGCCGCTGCTCTGTCTGCAAAGTCACTTGTCCTCGTGCAGCGTGTCGCCTTTGTTCCGTGTTGGACCATGTTGGTGCGAAATGAGGGTCCCTGTGAAGTAAGAAATGGCCCAGCAGTGGGTGGAAGCAGAGATGTGTCCGTTTCCCCCCTACACTCGTGCAGGAAGAGGCAGATATGTTTTGGGATGTTGTTACCGGACCTTCTTCTCATTCAAGGCACCTACTCGAGCAGCTGGACTGGAATCATGATTGCGTTGGTGATCGGAGTCGGAGGGCTTTTAGTAATGCTCGGCTTCTTGATCTACTGCTGTATATCCAAAGGTGAGGGGCTTCCCTGCGGTAACC